GGGAATGACCGAGGCAGAGCTGCCCATGGTCTCCATCTTCAAGCAGAAGCGGGTGAAGGGCTGGTGGCCGTTCGTGGCCAGAGATGAGAATGATGAGCTGGAGATCACCGTAAGGATGGGGAAAATGGAGGGATTTTGCATCCTGGGGATCGCACTCTTTGCAGACACCCTTCGCCCCTCCTGCACTTGCCTCTGTTCACTCAGGTCCCCTCTGTCACCCTGTCTTGGGGGGCTGAGGTGGGGAGCATGGCCTGGGTCTCAGCACAACTCTCTGCTCCCTGCAGGGCAAAGTCGAGGCTGAACTGCACCTTCTGACGGCAGAGGAGGCAGAGAAATCCCCGGCTGGGCTGGCTCGCAACGAGCCTGATCCACTGGAGAAACCCAAGTAAGTAGGAAACCCTGCTCCCCAGCAGGCACCTGAGCTTCTGGGAGATGCTGTGGGGTGGTCGCCAGGAGGGAGCTGGGCATGGGGAGGCGAGGAGGGGGTCGCACTGAGGGATGTAGGAATGAGGGTTATGGGCAGAACCATCTCTACTGGTTCCCCCCATTGCCTGCCAGTCACCGCCCCACTGCTTTTCCTTACTCCGTTCTTCTTCTGCCTCTCTTGTTGGCTCCATCCCCTTTCCTTGGCCTCACACCACCTTCTCCCCTCCGGTCCTCACCATCAGATTGCAACATCAGCTGGAATCCTCATTCTCCCTCACAAACCTTCATTACTCCACCTGGCATATGTCATACTGACTCCCCTTGGCCACCCTCCTGATCCTCCTGGTTGGGCTTTTTCAGACTTGGCCAGGGAAGGGGACCCTGCACCTCCCTTTGCCCACTGTGTCAGGTGTTGCCTGCCGTGCATCCCTGCTCCATGGCCACAGCATTAACGATGGGTATTTTCTTCCCCTGCAGCCGTCCGGACACCTCCTTCATCTGGTTCCTGAACCCGCTCAAGTCCATAAAATACCTCATCTGCACGCGCTACAAGTGGCTCATCATCAAAATCGTGCTGGCCCTGTTGCTCCTCATCATGATCGCCCTCTTCCTCTACAGCATGCCAGGCTACATGGTCAAGAAGCTGCTGGGAGCATGAAGCATGGGAGCCTCCTCCATGTCCCCAGCCCCACAACGCAACCTTCCCCAGCCCAGTGTCCTTCTCCTCCCCATGGCATCTCAGCAGCTTCGGGGGACATCTTGCTGCTGCTGCTGGGCCTCCTCTTTTGCATTCCTCCTCTGTGGGTCCCTTTCATGGCTTTAGTCCCAGAGAAATGGGGCTGGAGGATGGCATTGATCCCAAGGCTGTGCGTCCCTCCCTGGGGCTGGTGGAGCTGCCCTGCTGTGGGGCAACCAGGCTGGGGGTCTGAGAGTCCTTTGCTCATGGGGGCCATGGCAGGTGCCCTTCTGGGGAGCTCAGCCCCAGGGGACGGGGAGCGAGAGCTGGGTCTGCATCGCTGGATCCTTGGAGGGACGTTCAGAAACCAGGGCGAAGCAGGGACTGGGGACAGCTGGGGACATGCCAGCGCCACCGGCGTGGGGATGGCACAGAGCAGCCCCAACGCCTGTCCCCAATGCCTCATCCCCACTGCCAGCACTGTCCCTGCTCGACCCACAGCTCTGGAGGTCACTGTCCCCGGGTGCAGGGACCCATCCCAGTGTTGGGATCAGCAGGCACCGAGCCCCAGCCCTTCCCTCCCCACAGCACTGGCAGAGGCAGGAAGGTGTCCAGCAGCTCAAACATGTCCCCACGGTTACCGACCCAGAGCTGGTGGTGGCTGGACATCCCGGGGGGCTCACAGGGACCTGGGTTCTCTGGCACAGCGTGAGCTCCCTGTGGCCTTCTCAACTCTCAGTTTATTTTGTTTGGATTGATATGTTTTGCAGCTGGAGTCTTTCTTGCCGTGTATATTAGGGAAGGGGTCTTTTCACAGCTGACAGCGATATTCCGCTGTTGAAAAGCCACCTTTCTCGGCTTCACGTGTGCGAGACCCTCACTGAGTAATTGAGGAGATCTCGGGAATGTTTTTAGGATGCTACGGTTTCAATCAGTCAATAAAAATCGGCTTTCACTGATGGGTTCTCCGCCAAGGTCTTGTGTTCGTGGGGTACGTGGGGCTCATCACTGGCTGATTTTCGAGACGAGCCCTTTTCTCCTTCCCCCTGTCTGCCCTGCTGCTTCCCAGTTGCAGCCTCTTCTCCCACTGCTTCTCCCCAGTCCCCGGGGCTCCAGCCTGGTCCCACGGTTGCAGGGGAGCAACATGGCCCTGCCTTCCCCGCCGGGCAGGACGGCAGCGGGCTGACGGCGATGTCCTGGGGACAGCAGGGACCGAGAGGGGCTGCTCCTGGGCAGGGAAGCCCCAGTTGCTTCTCTCCATCACCTGCCATCTGCACTGGAGGGGCTGCCCAGCAGGTGGTCTCCTCTTGCCCACCTTAGGAGGGAGAAAGCAGGTGAAGAGGGACCCCAGGATCCTGTCTCTCCGCATGCTTTCCCTCCCAGAAGTTCCGCCTGTCTCCAGACCAAAACTCAACGAGAGGCCATCACATCTCTCACCGGCATCCCAACACTCCCAGACCACAGGACCTCATCCTGCAGAAACACCTCCTGAACAACACAGCTCCTCACAGCTCCACAGAAGACTGGAGCCTGGCTGGGCTGCTTTCCCTTCAGCTGTCCTAGCAGGGCGAGGCACAGTTCACAGAATCACAGAATCACAGAATAGTAGGGGTTGGAAGGGACCTCTGTGGGTCATCTAGTCCAACCCTCCTGCCCAAGCAGGGTCACCTACAGCAGGCTGCACAGGACCTTGTCCAGGCGGGTCTTCAGTATCTCCAGAGAAGGAGACTACACAACCTCCCTGGGCAGCCTGTGCCAGTGCTCCGTCACCCTCAGAGGGAAGAAGTTCTTCCTCATGTTCAGACGGAACTT